TAAAGATTGCTGTGTCTATTCAGGATCTTTTTTGGTTCCATATGAACTTTTGAAGTATTTGTTCCATGAAACATGTCATTGGTATTTTGATGGGGATTGTATTGAATCTGTAGATTGCTTTGAGTAGTATGGACATATTAATGATGTTAATTCTTCCAATCAATGAACATGGTATGTCCTTTCACTTTTTTATATCTTCCTCTATTTCTTTTTTTTAATGTCCTGTAGTTTTATGCAAAAAGGTGCTTTACTTCTTTGGTTAAGTTTATTCCTAAGTATCTTAATTTTTTGCTGCAATGGTAAATGGGATTGCTTTTTTAGTTTCTCTTTCTGTGAGTTCATTATTGATGTATAAGAATGCCATCGATTTCTTGATGTTAATTTTGTATCCTGCTATCTTGCCGAATTTGTTTATTAACTCTAGCAGATTTTTGATGGAGTCTTTAGGGTTTTTTATGTATACTATCATGTCATCTGTGAATAAGGACAGTTTCACTTTCTCCTTTACAATTTGGATCCCTTTTATTTTTTCTTCCTGTCTGGTTGCAGTGGCTAAGACTTCCAGTACTATGTTAAATAAGAATGGTGAAAGTAGGCATCCCTGTTTTGTTCCCATTCTTAAGGGAAATGCCTTTAGTTTTTGCCCATTGAGTATGATGTTGGCTGTAGGTTTTTCATATATGGCCTTTATTATGTCAAGATATGATCCCTCTATTCCCACATTGCTGAGCATTTTTATCAGAAATGGGTGCTGGATTTTGTTGAATGCTTTTTCAGCGTCTATTGATATGATCATATGGTTTTTATCTTTCCTTTTTTTTTTTTTTTTTTTTTTAATCCTCACCCGAGGATATTTTTCCATTTTTTGTACAGATAGAGTGGGAGGGAGAGAGAGGAAGAGAGAGAGAGTGAGAGAAACATCGATGTGAAGGGACACATCGAGTGGCTGCCACCCGCACGACCAACCAGGGCCGGGGACAAACTGCAACCGAAATACGTGCCCTTAGCGGGAACTGAACCCGGGTCTCTCCGGACCGCAGGCCGACGCTCTAACCGCTGAGCCAAACCGGCCAGGGCTCCTTTTTTTTTTTTTTTTTTTTTATCACATTTATTGATTTGCAAATATTGTACCAGCCTTGCATCTCTGGGATGAATCCCACTTGGTCATGGTGAATAATTTTTTTAATGTATTGCTGAATCTGATTTGCTAATATTTTGTTCAGGATTTTGGCATCTATGTTCATCGGGGATATTGGCTTGTAGTTTTTCTTCTTTGTAGTGTCTTTTTCTGGTTTTGGAATTAGAATTATGCTGGCCTCATAAAACGAGTTTGGAAGTCTTCCTTCTTCTTGAATTTTTTGGAATAGTTTGAGGAGAATGGCTGTTAGTTCTTCTTTGAATGTTTGGTAAAACTCCCCTATGAAGCCACCCGGTCCTGGGCTTTTGTTTGCTGGGAGAATCTTGATTACATCTTCAGTTTCCTTAGCTGTTATTGGTCTGTTCAAGTTTTCTATCTCTTCCTGGTTCAGTTTTGGGAGACTGTTTTTCTAGAAATTTGTCCATTTTGCTTAGGTTTTCCGATTTGTTGCTGTATAATTGTTCATAGTATTTGTTAATAGTCCTTTGTATTTCTGTCGTGTCAGTTGTTACTTCTCTTCTTTCATTTCTGATTTTGTGTATTTGTGTTCTCTCTCTTTTTTTCTTGGGAAGTCTAGCTAAGTGTTCATCAATCTTGTTTATCTTTTCGAAAACTAGTTCTTTGTTTCATTGATCCTTTGAATTGCTTTTTTTTTGGTCTCTATGTCATTTATTTCTGCTCTGATCTTTACTATTTCCTTTCTTCTGCTTGCTCTGGGGTTTTCTTTTTGTATGCTTTCTAGTTCTTTAAGTTGTGAGATTAGATGGGCAATTAGAGATTTTTCTTGCTTCTTGAGGTAGGCCTGTAGTGCTATGAACTTCCGTTTCAGAACTGCTTTCACTGCATCCCATAGATTTTATGTTGTTATGTGTTCATTTTCATTGGTTTCCAGGAAGTTTTAAATTTCTTCCTTGATCTCCGTGGTAACCCATTAATTGTTTAATAACATGCTATTTAGCTTCCACGTGTTCAAATGTTCTTGTTGCAATTAAATTCTAGTTTCATGCCATTGTGATTCAAGAAGATGCTTGATATGATTTCAATCTTCTTGTTGCAATTAAATTCTAGTTTCATGCCATTGTGATTCAAGAAGATGCTTGATATGATTTCAATCTTCTTGAACTTATAGAGACTTAGTTTGTGTCCTAGCATGTGGTCTGTCTTCGAGAATGTCCCATGTACACTTGAGAAAAATGTGAATTCTGCAGTTTTGGGGTGTAATTCTCTGCAGATATCTATTAAATCCATTTGATCTAGTGCTTCATATAGAGTCTCTGTTTCCTTGTTAATTTTTTGTCTAGAGGACCTATCCAGTGATGTCAGCGGGTGTTGAAGTGCCCTGCTATGATTGTATTGCTGTCAGTTTCTCCTTTGAAGTCCTCCAGAAGATTTTTAATAGATTTTGGTGCTCCTTTATTGGGTGCATATATGTTTATCAAGGTTATATCTTCCTGTTGGATAGATCCTTTCAATATTACGTAGTGGCCTTCTTTGTCTCTAATTATGGCCTTCATTCTGAAATCTATTTTATCAGTTATAAGTATTGCTACCCCAGCTTTTGTTTCTTTTCCCTTTGCTTGAAAGATTTTTTTCCATCCCTTCACTTTCAATCTATGTGAGTCTTTTCTTGTGAGGTGGGTCTGTTGTAAACAACATATAGATGAGTCATGCTTTCTTATCCAATCAGCTACTCTGTGTCTTTTGATCAGGGTGTTCAGTCCATTTACATTTAAGGTTATTGTTGATAAATACTGATTGCCATTTTGGTTTATTGTGATTATATTTTTCTTCCTATTCTTTCTATTAATTACAGCAATCCTTTTGACATTTCTTGCAGTGCTGGTTTGGTGCTAATATATTCCCTTAGCCTTTTTTTTTTTTTTTGTCTGGGAAGCTCTTTATTTCACCTTCTGTTTTGAATGATAGTCTTGCTGGATAGAGTAGTTTTGGATTCAGGTCCTTGTTTTTCATGACCTTGATTACTTCATGCCATTCCCTTCTGGCCTGTAATGTTTCTGTTGAACAGTCAGCTGATAGCCTTATGAGGGTTCCTTTGTAGATAACCTAGTGCTTTTCTTTTGCTGCCTTTAGGATTCTGTATTTGTCTTTAATTTTTGGCATTTTAATTACTGTCTGTTTTGGTGTGGACCTGTTTGTGTTCTTCTTACTTGGGGCTCTCTGTGCTTTTTGAACTTGAATGCCTTCTTTCTTCACCATGATAGGGAAGTTTTCTGTCACTATTTTTTCAAATATATTTTCTAACCCTTGCTCCTTTTCTTCTTCTTCTGGAATTCCTATGATGTTAATGTTGTTATGTTTCTAGTTGTCCCACAGTTGTCTTAAGCTGTCTACCTTTTTTTTTAAAATAGTTTTTCCTTTTGGTTTTCTGATTGGTTGACTATTTTTTACCCTGTCTTCTAATTCGCTGATCAAATCCTTAGCTTCCTCTACTCTGCTGGTTATTCCTTCCAATGTGTTCTTTATTTCTGCTAAGTCATTCTTCATTTCTACCTGGTTGATTTTCAATGTTTCTACATCTTTACTCATGGTGTTGAGCTCCTTACTCATGCTCTGAACTCTACCTCTGATAACTTGCTTAACTGCATTTCATTTATCTCATCTTCATTAGAGTTCTCTTGTTCTTCCATTTGGGATTTGTTTCTTTGTTTCACCATTTTGGCTATCTCAGAGGGTTTTGGAACCTGCCAAATTTTTCCTGTGGGTGTTGGTGTTCTGCTGTTTGTGATTCCCTCTACTGGGTTTGGATGAGTGGAGGAGGACCCACGTTCAACACCACTGTCAAGTTTTACCTACCTGGGTAGATTTGCAAGCCCAGAGAATGTTCAGTTAACTTATAGCTTGTTGCATAGAGGCTATTAGTCTCAGTTACTTGATGAGCCTTGGGTTGTGGCCCTCAGCTGAATGAAAAACTCCCTCAGGTATTCAGGGTAAAAGGATTTTCAGTGTGTGGGGCAGATGCTTGTTGTTACTGAGCCTCAATTTGCATTTCTCCGGCCCAGCTTGGTGGGGTTAAATCTTTGAGGAGAGCTCTGGGAAGGAGCAAGATGACCACTGTCCTGTGTGGCCACTGTCCTGTGTGGCCATGGCTCAGCAAAAACTCTGAGCACCCTCCAAATCCTGGGTGTCCCCACAGAGTTCCAGTCCAATCCACCATCATTTTGCCAGTGCCCAAGGTGATTGGCTGTAGTTAATTTAGTACACTGTTCCAGCCGTCTGTGCTGTGGAGCAGGCTTGGGATTTTAACCTTGAGGGAGCTGCTCACAGCTAAAACAGCTGCTGTCTGTGGGCTCTCAGCCCACTCTCTTGTGCCTCTGCAGGCCTACCAGGCTTGATTCAGTGTCCTTTTTTCCTATCCCTGGTTATATAGTCCTCTCTAGCTGGTTTTCTGTTGCTTTTTCCCAGTGATTTGTCTTTATTTTAGTTGTAATTCCAGTTTGACCCTGGGAGATGGTCTGTGTAGCTTTCATTCATTCCACCACCATTTTGGAATCTGCTGACCAAATGCTGCAGAGATCACTAGCCCTCTCTAACTCTCAATTTTTCCACATGGGTGGCCATGGGGACCACTCAGAGCATGAAGCTTCCATGAACCCGAATCCCAGGAACAGCTGTTTTCCTTATTATTGTGGGTAAAATTATTAAGAACTTGTTGTGCTTATAATGAGATTTTAGTATTAATAAAAAGTAAAGAGTTTATTTTTAGTTAACTATGTATACTTTAATGAACTGTTTATTTTAATATTTCTTACAAGATTAAGGGGTAGGTGATGTAAAAAGCTTTGCCATTCCACTGTGCTCTATTTAAATGTTAATAAACACTGTATGTTAATATTTTTCATAGGTGCATTATTGCAACGGGCCTTGACAAAAAAACAGCTTCACCAGAACTTAGGAAACAAAAAAGTCTTGAGAAAAGAGAGGAACTGAAGAAGGGTGAGGGGAAACTGAGGAAGGACAGAGCATACATGATACCAAGAAGGAACGAGATGGAGGGGAGCAGAACCTCTGCTTCAGTCCTTTATTCAGCCGAGGAATTAAAAACAGGGGTTGAAGAAGTGAGAACTGCTTTGGAAGAAATGGAACGTAAAGAAACATACCATGTTTGGGAAGATGACCAGGAAAATATATTTAAATATGGTAAGGTAATGGTGCCAGGGTTCTCTTCTTGTTACTGCTGCTGTTCTTTTGCTTAAGTCTTTAAACTGTGATCATCAACATTTGCAAAACTATCCATAGGTAATTCTGTAACACACGAGCAATCCCTGACCACCTCCCTTCATTGTTTGCATGGAGTCCTGTGTCACCTACCTTGGAGGAGGGCAGACCAGCCCAGAAGTGTTGAAGTTGCTCATGGGGAAAGGAAGTGAAGAGGAGTTTAGGTCTGTGTGTATGAGCCAGAGGCTCTGTTCACTTCTGCAGAGAGATACTTTCTGTCCAAATGGAATTTTGCCTATTTTTTTTAGTGCTTGAATGTACTTGTTTTGGTGATAATGATGCTTTAGTATCAGGTAGGCACAATGTATATGATTATAAGGTGGTAGACACAGTTGACACAGGCTTGGGATCCTAGAGTCTACCTGTCCACAGTTTTGCTTTCTTTTTTTTAATTCTCACCTGAGGACATGTTTCCATTTTTTGTTCAGATAGAGTGGGAGAGAAAGAGAGTAAGAGAGAGGGAGAACAAAACATTGATGTGAAAGGAACACATCAAGTGGCTGCCACCTGCATGACCCATCCAGGGCAGGGGACAAACTGCAACTGAGATATGTGTCCTTAGCAGGAACCAAACCCAGGTCTCTCTGGACCGCAGGCTGATGCTCTAATCGCTGAGCAAAACTGGCTAGGGCCAGTTTTGCTTTCTTATTCTTCTCCTGTCCTCTCCTCTCTCCACCTCTTCCTTTTCCTCCCCTCTCCTTCTTTCTTCTTCCCCTCCCCTCTCTTCCCTATTCTCTTCTCTCCCCCTCTTCCTCCTCTCACTCCTCCTCCTTCTCTCTCTTTCCACATACATGTTCATAAATATAATAATAATAATAATAATAATAATAATATGCCTGACCGGTGTGGCTCAGTGGTTGAGCGTCGACCCATGCACCAGGAGGTCGCCGATTCGACTCCTGGTCAGGACACATGCCCAGGTTGTGGGCCTGATCCCCAGTGGTGGGCATGCAGGAGGCAGCCAATCGAAGTTCTCTCTCATTGGTGTTTCTATTTCTCTCTCTCACTTCCTCTCTCTCTAAAATCAATAAAGAAAAAAATTTAAATAATAACAATAATAAAAAGGCCTGGCAGTGAGCACTGACTAGGCACTATGTCATTTGATGCTTACTATCCCATATAGTCAATATTATTACTGCCTCCATTTTACACGTTATGAAACTGAGGCTCAGACATACAGAGAAAAAATAGCAGAACTGGGATTTCAGCTGTAGGAGAGGGAACCTGTTTTCCCTCTCCCCATCTTAGGATCATTGGGTGGATCCTTATAAATCAGACTGCCAAAAGAGTTTAACCGGGAAAAGGAAGCAGAGGTTTATTGACCCACGCTCACACTGGAGCACTCAGCGCCGAGTAACTCTGAGGAGTAGTTACTCAAGTAGAACTTGAGTTTATATGGCATGTTAACAACAGAACAGTATATTTTTAGTGAAGTGGCAAGACAAAGGAAAAGGACTTTGAACTTCTAGGGGCAGTAAATTGTAGAAGGCAATAATACGGGCAACTAATAATAGATAAGTTCTGGTTTTATTGAGCTTTGTTATATTGATTCTTTTGGTGCATACTGGGATAATAAAGGTCTAGAAGTTGTGTCCTATGATTAACTTCCATGGTTCCTGCTAGAGAGGGAAGGGAGACACCTTCAAATTTGTGTCTTGCTTTTAGGCAGATGGGGGGAGGGCATAGAGCATTTCTTATATCTACTGCTTTCCCGTTGCCATCAGCGAAAGATAACCCTTATGCCAAAACTGTGTATTTTGGGGCGGTGTACTCTTCAACACCCAGGCTTGTATAATTCCAAAGCCCAGACTTTCAAACACTATCCAACCTCCTGTTCTGTACAAACTATGCTTGCTGTTAACTGCTTGTGGGTGATACATGTATAAAATCTGAAATGGAGCTGCCGAGTGTCCCTCTTTCACCCAGAGGACAAAGCCTGGATTAGAGGAACAATAGCCATGGGTGGTGATGACCTGCAAAAGGGCTGGCCTCAGGAAAGGCACGTCCTTGGTATCTTCTTCCTCACCTCATGTTGTTGCTGCCCAAGCGTTTCAGTAATGCAAGAGAATAATCACAGAGCTGGTGGACCACTGGATTCCATGTCTGTTTACTACTGAAATAATGTGACTATCTTCAAACAGATTTCACTGATGACACTTTGACCCAGTTACCTCTTTCTCTCCATGATCCCTTCTAGTCTTTATTATCTTAGCCCGAGAATTTAGAAATATCTCTAGCAACAGCAGTAGCAGAAAGATGAACAAATGGGATGTTCTCTCGTTTGTTTTAACTCTCAAGACATGTAGGTTTACTAAAGCCATGTTCAGTAGAGGCTTTTCATTTTCTTCATTTATTTTCTCTTAAACTAACATAGCCAGTGCTATGAGTAGCATACTTTATGCCTATAATACAGCTTTTCCAAGATCTTTCTTCTGTGTTGGCTAGTTAATGGACTTTAATTGCCCATTTCCATTAAAAAAAAAAAAGAAAGAAAAGAAAAGAAATAAACAGCAGCAGCAAGGCTTCAGCTCTCTGCAGAACAGTCACTGATGGGAAGGGCAGCAAGAAGTTTGAGTGGAGGTCAGCGAGGGAGGGTTGCAGCTGGATTGATGTTGACCTCGAGTTGACTCGCTTCCTCATTAGTGAGGATGGTAAACAACAAGCTAATTAAATTCTTAGGAAGAAGGAAGATGAGATGGGGGAGAAAAAAGAAATCATGAAAAGGAATCCAGAAAGCATGCCACCAGTTCATTCATAATGAAAACACGCGAATAGATGACACAAAGGAGGAGGTATGCTTTGAGCTATAATGCTAATAGAGTGCTCTGTGGTTAATAGAAGGCTAATATTTAGATGTGATGATAGTGGTGGGTAAAATGAAACCAGGGCAGCTTTAAATATCATACATTGGGGAAAAAAGCACAGAACTTCCTGCAAAATAGGATGCAGGGACTATTCTTGTGGTTTATACATGTTCCTCCAATTTTATGCTCTGCTTCAGCCACATAACTGTAATTGTGTTCTAATTGTGGATACTTGTACGTCTCTCATTTTAATCAGGTGCTTCCACTAAAGTGTATAGAGCACATACTGGGTGTGATTTCTCTTGTTCTATGACCAACTCCCTCCACCCCCAATCACAATCACTATCACTTCTAATGCCTGATATTGTAGGCACCTACTGGCCAGGGCACTGTACTGAGCATGTTCCAGGGTTATTGCTTTTGATACCACAGCTTTGTGAGACAGATTGCCTAGGTCATGACTACCTGACTCCAAAACTCTCGGATTTCCCCACTGATGGAATTAACACTATCTAATACTATTGGTGAAAGTACACAATTCACTCATGTTCTGTCTGGCTCCCTGCTTATCCTGTGACCAGAAGCAAATGTCTGTTAAGTGATACGTGTGTTGGTGTGTGTGTATATCTCCGTGTGTGTGTATTCTGTGGCTAGCCTAAACTACTCCTCTTACAAAGTTTTCCATAATCTCCAAGTGAATTTCTGCTCTTCTTTGATTCCATTCCACTCACTTGACACCATTTCATATAATTAATTGAGTCATTTATAAAAATTTATTGCAATCGAGCCCAGTAATGTGGAAATAAACATTACCGAGGACCATGGATACAAAGTCCTATGAGTTCAGTGTCTCTTCTGCAAATACATCTTATTTTCTCAACAAAAAGTGGAGATGGCTTGATAGTAAGGGTTGTGTTACTGTAATATCTTTTATTTTCTAAAATTTTTTGTTTATTTATTTATTTTTAATTAATTAATTTTTCTTAACAGACGTTTCTCCTTTTTCCCCCATTGACACCCTCCTCCCCATCCCGCTCCCCCACTCCCAACATTGTTGACATGTCCATTGATTATGCTTATATGCATAAGTTCTTTGGTTGATCTCTTAATTTTATCCTCTTCCATACAAAGGCTTATTGATTGATAGCTAAGTGGTCAAGTGAGAAATTTTCTACTATTTGGCTTGAAAATTTAAATCAAAAGATTTATTTGTTTTTATTATATTTCCTGTTTGTTTCATGCAATATAAAACAAATTCTTCAACTTCTTGCTTACTTTATACTTCTGTTTTACTGATAGTAATTTTCATTTATTATTCTTTCTATTAAATCTCTTTTACGAAAACAATCATGTGATGAATTCTCTTTGCCTTTATTTAAGTTTCTGACTTCACTTTTCCTGGAACATCTCCCTCATACATCTCTGCTTTAACAGAGTTCTCTTCATGCCCACAGGGCTTGCATTTCTAAATTAAGTTTTTTTCATTGGACAGAGTGAATAGCTCTCAAGTAATTACCCAAGAGGGCCCCACCACTGGAAAAAAAAACAAACCAGAATATCTAATAACTAAAACATACAAAATAGGAAACCTTTATTTTCCCTGTAATTTTCATTCCAAAGATAATTGTTTGTGTAATTGGTTCTGCATGAAATCCTTTTGCTCTCTATCGTTGGCATGTTGTCACTTCAAGATTGTTAGTTTTCTGTGAAAGAAAAAGGGGAACAATTAAATATGAGAGGTGAAAATTTATAACCACAAGGGACATCTGGAGTTTATATGATGTGACAGTTTTCTTTTTCTGCTGCAGATTTGTCGCACTTCTGTAGGGAACGAAGCACATCAGTGACTGTGGCAGTAATATTCTATTTTATGGGAATTTTTACCCTTGGAATATAATGATTTCATTGATTGTAGGGCTGAACAAGGCATATGATTACAGTTTTGGTCTAGGTATAGAATCCTTCATAATGCCTTTTCTTGATGTCCATTTGGTTCTCAAAGAATGTGCTTTTCACAGTGTTACTTCTCAGGGCCTTTGGACTTGATTAATTAAATTTTTCCACTTCACTGTTCATTAACTTGATATCCAAATATTTGGAACATTATTTTCCTATGAAATATGACCTCACTGGATCTCCAAATTAACTTTCATTATGATGATCCTGTTCTCTTCATTTTCAATTTATCTCTAATTTATTGTTTTCCACCACGTTCTTCTCTTGTCTAGTCTGGTTTTTGTTAGATGATGCTGTCGTTTTGTAAATGGACCCTTAGCAGGGTTCAGGCTTGTCATTTGGAGCTTCGTTTCTTGTGTGTTCTTTGGTATGTAGTGGATTGCACTCTCTGATCATTCACTGTTAGTTTTCCACGTTCACCAATTGTGTGTAGTCAAAGTCAAGAGAGACCCTGAGAAGAGAGACTCATTGAGTCCAAGTTCTCATTAAAGTGGAAGGGGTTAAGTATTAGGGATTGTGTTTTCATTCTCATAGTGGAGACTTTCTCTTCTCAGAATATGAAGAAGATTTTGAAGTAGACGAGGAGAAACAAGGTGAGAAAGTGAATAAAGAAGGACAGGCTGATGATCAAATAAATGCAATGTCAAAGTCACCCTCGGACAGTGAAAAAAATAATTTAGACCCTGGAAACAGGAGTAGACGCTCGTCACGGAAGGTACCAGGTGCTGGTGACGGTGTGACAGATGAGGATGATGGACGCTCGGAGAGTGATGTGGACGAGGATAAACAAGGCAAGTCGTTCAGCTTATCACACCACGTGGCTGCTTAACAAGTGTACATTTTACCTTTCTTTTCCTTACATTTAATGAGATCAAATTAGAGCATGGTTTCAGAACCGGAGGATGCCGATCAATCAGTCTCCTGCGGATGACCAAATTACGAAGTCACTCTTTAATCCTTCCTTAGTTTGCCAAGATTTGCCGGCAGGGTGTCAGGTAATACTTGTAGTGACACATCTTCTGTTTACTTAGAAAATTATTATTATTTTTTAATCCTAAACTATCCCCCTTTACACAACACACACACGTACACACATGTACACACACGCACACATCATTTTGTGGCTTTGGAAAAATGAAAAGTAGCTTATACTCAATTAAAGTAAAAGGTGACGATTCCTGTCTTAGGTTCATGTTTGTTTTTTTGACCTTGAACACAGGACACTGACAAATTAGTTTTGTGAAAGGATTATCTCTTGGCAAAGGTGGCCTCCTCTCGATCTTCAAGCCTAAAATAACTCTGAATGGTCACAGGAAACAGAGCTCTTTTCAGTCAGAGAAAGAAACACTGGAAACTGAGATGTATCTTACATTTTTAAGAACTTTGTAAAGACTTTAGTTTACCAAAATAATGTCTGATCAAAGAAGAAACCCATTTACTTTAGACTAGAAAAATGAGGTCACATTGCGATGACTTTTTAGTTACTCTTCGTTTTCCCCATTCTTTTTGCCTCAAAATCTTTCCTGTAAAAATCTCAAAACTTCAAATTTAAGGACTATATTAGGATACTATGAGAGTTAATTATATAATAAAGTAATCACCTGAGCAAATATTTATAGTTCTGCTCTCTTCAAGAAAGTATCCAATGCCCTGGCCAGTTTGGTTCAGCGGTTAGAGCTTCGGCCTGCGGTCCAGAGAGACCCGGGTTCGGTTCCCGCTAAGGGCATGTACCTCGGTTGCAGTTTGTCCCCGGCCCTGGTTGGTTGTGTGGGTGGGTGGCAGCCGCTCTATGTGCCCCTTTAACATCTCTCTCTCTCTCTCTCTCCCTCTCTCTCCCTCCCACTCTATCTGAATAAAAAATGGAAAGGTGTCCTCTGGTGAGGATAAAAAATAAATAAATAAAAATATAAAATACATTTGTAAAAAAAAAAAAAGAAAGAATTCAAGCAAATCTATTCTAATATTTTATGCACACATATACAAGGCGATAAAGAACAGAAATTAGAGTAAAAAAGAAGATGATTTTACTAGGAACCTTAAATGAGATCATGACTATGTTTTCACTAAGAGTTTAATTTTTGCCTGGCCAGTATGGCTCAGTGGTTGAGAGTCGACCCATGCACCAAGAGGTTGCCTGTTCAATTCCCAGTCAGGACACATGCCCAAGTTGTGGGCCTGATCCCCAGTGGGGGGCATGCAGGAGGCGGCCAGTCGATGTTCTTTCTCATCGATGTTTCTATCTCTCTCTCCCTTTCCCTTCTTCTCTCTCTCTAAAATCAATAAAATAAATAAATAAAAATTTAATTCTAAACTTTCTGACAGGCAAACTAAAGAGTGAAACATAATGTAAACACTCAGAATGATGAACTTGAAAACAAGATTTACTACAGTTGAAAGAATCAGTCAAGATTAATGGCCAAGCCTTGGCCAGTTTGGCTCAGTGGTAGAGTGTCGGCCCACAGACCAGAGAGTCCCAGGTTCGGTTCCTGCTAAGGGCACATACCTTGGTTGCAGTTTGTCCTCGGTCCTGGTTGGGGTTTTGTGGGTGGCAGTCACTCGATGTATCTCTCTCACATCAATGTTTCTTTCTCTTCCCCCCCTCTCCCTCCTGCTCTATCTGAAGATGAATGCAAAACTGTCCTCAGGTGAGGATAAAAAAATAAAAAAGATTAATGGTCAAGCATTGAAATATTTTTTTGTAAAGTCTTATACTAGGCCTTTCAATAAATTCTCTGAATACTTACATTGTATGTTTATAGGTGTGCTTACAATGTTTTTTTTCCTCAATCTGAATGTCAATACTGCATTTAAGTATGTAGTTCTATATGATACAGAGAAAGTTAAAGAATTCTATGAAAAAGTGATGTTACCTGAATCAAATTTTGAAGAAACTATACAAGTGATTTGAACCTAGAAAAGGATAGACACTGTGTTTGCATATAGATATGACTGGTTCAAAATACAAAGGACTCAATTTTTTAATTTCTTCAGTAGTGGTGGGAAACAATCAAGTTTCATTTACTATATGGTCATCTGGGACTATGTTTGTGTTACATAATCACCTTGCTTTCTTGGGATGAAATGGTTTTTTTCTAACATAAAGTACCTTTTTCAGTGTTCTAACTGAGGATGCAAGTAGTACTTGGATCTCCCTTGGAAGGAAAACTTTAATCATTTAGACATGTAATTATTGAATAACTAACAGTGATATGTAAGCTTGAATACTGAAGACTTTTCGCATATAAATAATGGTAACCCTGTGTTTGGAAAAGCATGCTATAGGTATTGTTTGTTAAGGTTCCATTTTGTGCTAAGCACTGTGCTAAATATTTTACATGAATTCTCTGATTTACCTCAAACAACCTGAAAAGCAGTTACTCTTTCTTCTTATCTCCATTTTACAAATAAATAAACTTGGAAATGGTGAGATTAAGTAACTCACACAGCCAGAAAGTAGTAGTGCCAAGACACAAACATTACCCAACTTCAGAGCCTGAATTTTGGAAAAAACAAGGGAATGCTTCTCCAAATAAGAAAATCTCTGCATATCTAAAATTAACCCCCCCAATTAAAAAGATTATACTTCCTTAAGAATAAACAGTTTAGAGGCATTTATCTTGAGCTCTTTACCTTGTCCTGTTCTCTAGCCTCTGTTTTTGTTTGTTTCTTTGTTTTGTTTTGTTTTTAAACAGAGGGAATGCAAATGGAGATTTTCTCATTTTACCCAGTTCATGTTCCTCATCCCTGGACGGACTTCCCAGTCTATTCCCAGGCCTGTGCTCAGTTCAGCGCATCCTCCTCTTTTCTGACTTATTTCTACTTCATCAGCCTTTCCTGGGGTCTTTCTTTTATGAAACCATATAATTCTGTGGTTACGTTTTCTTTCTTGTTTTTTAAATTAATTAATTAATTTTTGTTACAGATGTCCCCCCCCACACTGATTCCCCCTCCTTTAGTTACACTTTTATTTATTGTTTTGCGTGTGTTAAATTTTGCTCGAGTTAACTATACAAGTTAATAACATTACCCTATGAAAGCTGGGATTGTAGCGGTTTGGCTCAGCGGTTAGAGTGTCAGCCTGCGGTCCAGAGAGACCCGGGTTTGGTTCCCACTAAGGGCACGTACCTCCGTTGCAGTTTGTCCCCGGCCCTGGTTGGCCCTTTCACATTGATGTTTCTCTTTCTCTCTCTTCCTCTCTCTCCCTCCCACTCTACCTGAACAAAAAATGGAAAAAATGTCCTCAGGTGAGGATAAAAAAAAAAAAAAGGAAAGCTGGGATTGTATGTTATCTTAATTATTCTTCACAGAGGTGATTTCCTAAAAAATCTTTTGTAAATATTAAGCAATTACTTGATTTTTAAAAACACTAAGAACACTAAGGTGCTTTTGTTAGTGCCATAATATCTAGTTACATTTATGCTATCTGATTATTATTGTAATTTTATTGAAAAAAAAGTGTAGGCTTTGCTGCACTATATAGATATAGAATACTGACTATTTTAAATAGATATGTAATGAAAGCTATTAGAACATGTAAGATCTAACCCATAAGTGTTGAAAAATTTAAGAGCCAACAATTAAACTGGCCAATGATTTTATTTTCTTCTTTCAATAATGATGTTATTAAGCTAACCTTTTAGAGTGCCTTTCATCTTGGGCATTTACATTAAAATTTTACGTTATTCTGAAATAAAATATCATTGTTGAATTTTTTTCCTCCACCTTCAGGCTCAATTATTTTTCCATCCCTTTGTTTGGATAACCTGACCCTATGTTATTTAAAAACACGCCTTTCAGCGTGTGGATATCAGAATCACAGGTTTCATCCAGCAGACCAGTAGCATGTATTAAAAATGATAATGGCATGATAGATTCCTTGGAACACTCTTCTGAAAAGCCAGACAGCATTTTATCTTCAGAAGCGTCAGAGGCATATTGTGACCACTGAATCCCAGACACCAGTACATCCCTTTTATTGACATGATTAAGAATCTTGCTCTTAGTATTTGGATGTGTTTCATTTGAACCTGCCTGCACCTGTTCCCTGAGGGCAAACAATTGCCCAGGCTGTCACTCTTGTGACAAGTTGGCCCCATTTAAACTGCCAGCGAACAATTGTGCCGCTGCCTTGATGAATTCCCTGTGCTGAACAGCGTGTGAGTGATGGAGTGCGAGGGACGGAGAGCTGACTCAGAGAAGACCCTGCTTCAGGAGTGATGTGTGAGACTTCCCATCGTTTACAAAGAAGGACAGCTTCCTTTTCTCTGCATTTGCGTTGGCAACCCCAGCCGCCAACTCGCCGGTGGAAAATATATCGTCGTAGATGAATGTTGTGAGGTTGAGGGGAAAGTGTCATGTCACTGAGAATATACTTTCATCCGTTTATGGATAGTTTGGATGATAGTGCCCATGAGTAAGAGGTAAAGACTAAGTAGCTCCTTATGAGAAAACAGTGAGAAGGGGGAGGGAGTGGGGAGACAGTTTGTTCCCAGAACACAAAGAAAAGAGCTTAAAAATTAGAGCAGATAGTTTCTTTTCTAGTAAAAAAGATAATATTTCCCTTGTGCTATTTTCCAGTCTGTTGAAGAAGTAGGCCATATAGAATTTTAAAATCCCAGAGTCACAAAAATAGTCTGTTTACTCGACTAACAGACTGTAAGAATCTCTCTCTTCATTCCCTGGCCTATGGGCTTGAAGAGACGCCTAGGAGGGAAGACTGCTGCTTCTCTGATATTGTACATGCGGTGAAACCACACGCTGTGAGTTGCAGTGTAACTCGTCTGCTCCTTGG